ATCATAATGCTGCTTAATGGTCCATTTGTGAGGATGTTTTGTTTTCTTTATGTCCAGGTATAACTCAGAAGGCTTTGATCTTCATCAGTAAGTGCTTCAAGTCCTCTTCATTTTCAGCTGGCAAGAGTCATTGTACTGAAAAAAAAATTGGTTGACATTCAACCATTTCAGGAAGTGTCATGTAATCATGTACCGGTGGTACTGAAGGAAGAAGTCCAAACTGCACTGGTGAAGGCGCTGGTGAAAACCAAGGCTCCAGGAATCGACAGAATACTATTTGAAATGTTTTTGTGAAAGGATGCAACTCTGGAAATGCTCACTCATCTATGCCAAGAAATTTGGAAGACAACTATTTGACCAACTGACTAGAAGAGATCCATATATATGTGCTTATCCCAGAGAAAGATGATCCAACAGAATGTGCAAATTATCTAACAGTAGGAGCTCTGGTAGCATAGTGGCTAAGGCACTTGACTGCTAACCAGAAGGCTGGCGGTTCAAATCCACCAGCCACTCCTCAGAAGAAGGATGGGGCAATCTACTTCCGTAGTGATACCACCTCAGAAACCCAAGGAAGGGTCGCTATGAGTCGGGCTCCACTCGACGGCACATAACAAAAACAACAACAATAATTAATATCAGAAGCTCTGGTGGCACAGTGGGTAAAGCACTCAACTGCTAACCAGAGAGTGGTCATTTCAAACCTACCTGCTGCCCCATGGGAGCAAGATGTGGCAGTCTGCTTCCATAAAGATTTACAGTCCTAGAAACCCTATGGGGCAGTTTCACTCTGTCCTATAGGGTTGCTATGAGTTGGAGTGGACTTAACAGCAGTGTTTTTCTATCATTAATATCACATGCAAAATTATGCTGAACATAATTCAAAACTGGTCACAGCAGTACATCTACAGAGAACTGCCAAAAACTCAGGCTGGATTCAGAAGAGCTCATGGAACAAGGGTTGTCATTGCTGATGTCAGATGCATCTTAGTTGAAAGTGAAGAATACCAGGAAGATGTTTACCTGTGTTTTATTGACGATACAAAAGCATTCAACTATGTGGATCATAACAATTTATGGATTACATTGAGAAGAATTGGAATCCCAGAATTCTTAATTGTGCTCAGAGGAACTTGTGCATCCACCAGGAGGCTGTTGTTCAAAAAGAACAAGGGGACACTGCATGGTTTACAGTCAGGAAGGGAGTGTGTTGGGGTTGTATACTTTCACCATACGTATTCAATCTGTATGTGGAGCAAATAATCCCAGAAGCTGGACTCTATGAAAAAGAACACAGCATTAGCATTGGAGGAAGACTCATGAACAATCTGTGATATGCAGATGACTCCAGACAGGTTTAGCAAGAGATACAATTCTGGCCTCAGGCCATAGTCACAAGACAAAGGAATCTAGTTCAAAGGAAAAAATCAGATTAAAGGTGTTGCCTTCACACCCAAGGGGAAGATTTCACCTGGTCTCAAACAGCTGCCTCCAGATTGGGATTGGAGTGGGGGAGACAGACTCAAATTGGTAAATTAGGGAGTTCTCGGCCTTACAAAGGAGCTCTGGTGGTGCAGTGCCTAAAGCATCTGACTGCTAACCAGAAGGTTGGTGGTTCAAACCCACCAGCCACTTTGCAGAAGGAAGACCACCTTGGAAAAACCCTGTGGGGGTCGCTATGAGTCAGAATCCACTCCATGGCAATAGGTTTTTTTGGTTTTTTTTTTTTTTTGGTCAGGCTTAAAAGTGGTATCTCAGTAAGATCTTTGGTCAAATCAATTTGATTACAAAGCTGATCAAAACCAATATATAGGAAGCCTGCTACATTTTATTTTTGTTTTCTAAATGTTGAAAATATACACAGCAAAACATACACTTATTCAAAAGTTTCTACATGTACAATACAGTGTCATTGATTACATTCTTCAACCATCCTCATCCTCTTTTTCCCCATTGTTCCTCCCCTGAGAAGGGAAGGTGGTGTTGTGCAGACAGACCCACAATCTCTACCTCTTCCATCTGGAAATCAGAGCAACTAGGTACAGCAGATGTAATAAACACACTTGGGTGGTGAGAAGCTAAGGACAAGGTACAGTGTTAGATCCAGTGAAAGCAAAGAGAAAAAGAGAGCAGGCTGAACAACTGGGGAAAAAAGGCAGGCCCACCCAGCCGGGGGAGAGGAAACACAGGACTGAGGCAGGGGACAGGGTGGAGGAGAAGGAAAGAAAAGAAAAGAAAAAGCAGAACACCACAGAACCCACTAGGAGCTCTGGTGGCACAGTGCCTAAGGCACTTGACTGCTAACCAGAAGGCTGGAGGTTCAAAC